TTCGGGTTCATCAGCAGCACTATTATGCCATCCCAAAATGAATCCATCCTCAGACACCCGAAGGCAACATGTTTAGGGTCTATCATTTCTCACCAAAAGCTGAATCTAGGGCTATTGATTGAGCAGGAGATGGCCATGAGGGCCAAGAAAAGATAGACTTTGCTTCCATTCCTAGTGTTGATCACCAATCTGTGCAGACGGGTCTGTGTTTCTCGAGATGAGAAGAAGGATGAGGAGGTGACACCCACATCCTCTATTGACATCCGGCGTATTGAGGCCGAATACCAGCGGGATGAGGCTGACAAGAGGAGGGAAGCACCGGTGGATACATCCTCAGAGGTCGACATTGAAATGTTACCTACAGAGGCAGACATGCCTAATCAGGCTAGTGGGCCCTCAGGTACATCTAGACCTTCCTCTTCTGAGATTCTGAACACTTTTGTTGCACCCCCTCCCCTTAGATCTTCTGTTGTTTCCACTTCTGCTTCCCGACCACCTATCACCCAGGCGATGCTTTACAACATGGGCCCAGTTGGCTCAATCTGCCGATCTGTGTGCCTCACGATTAAAGGTTGTTATTCCTGGGATGATTGCGAGGGCCATTGTTGCTGCTTTGACACCTCTCAGAGCTGAGATTGATAGCCACAAGTTGTCCCTGGATGCCTTTACTGTGAGAGTGGGGGAGTGTGAGAAGAGCCAGGAAGCGACTGATGCGGTGACGACTTTAAAGGCCGATCATGTTGAACTCCGTAAGGATGTGGACTAGCTGAAGTCCATTGATTTGTTCATGTTCTTTGTCACTGTGGATATCCCAGATGTCCCGAGCACAGATATTCCAGCTTTTTCTAAGGTGCCTCCAGCCACTACGACCGAGGATGAGACTAGAGCTGATGACACTGATGTTGATTTTGAGGCTGAGATGAATGAGGAGCAACTTGGTGGCGGGAGGAGACAGTGTTTGAGGATTTAGCTGACTTGGAGGGTGCTATGTTCGATACTGCGAGACAGGCATCTCTTCAGGATACTTCGATGGTAGGCTCCAGTGGAGCCAAGGATGTTGAGACACCGGGCACTGATGCCCAGACAGAGAGAGCTGTGGATATGCAGAATTCACACGGGCTTAGCCTGGTAGGATGATTCTCTTACCACTTTCTTTGTCACCTTTTTAGACTATTTTTGTTTTTAGTTGCATTTTACGACAACTGCATATTTTGTTGGAGGTGAGGTATTTCCATACTTACCTCTTTTGTGTGTTGTTTTGTGAATATTGACTTTGATGTGTTTTTGTGAATATTGAGCTTATTGGGTTTTATATATATATATATATATATATATATCTCGGTTGTGGAATTGTGGTTGTTGATAAATTATGGCCTATTGTTTTGATATGAAGATAGTTTTGGAACCAAGTTTTATAATTTTTGCCACCTCTTTTGTGTGTGCTTGTGGTTGTTCTTATGCAAATTTGAGTGTCGGTTGTGGTTAATATCGATGACTCGAATAGTGCTCTTAATTGAACGAAATGAATGTGCGGCTATGATGAGGCAAACTAAGTTACATAGGCAATATGTGGACTTCTAGCATCTCGTTGTTACTAGCCAATTGTCGAATGAGTCTCTTGTGATGAACATTGCACGCTAGCTAGAAAGTGTGGAGTCTTGTTTGATAATTGTATCAATGCCTTGTGTGGTGAGGTTACCTTGAACATTGTGCTTGATGACACCTAGAATTTGCTCCGTTGGTTCGGTTGATGAGTGATGCAAGCAATAGACATGATCTTAGGAAAAAGTTTTGAAGAGTGAACCTATTTGACAACATACCTCTTTGTGGCCAACCTTGTGAGAAGTATGAATCTTATTTTGGAACCCTTTGAGCTTATCATTTACTTGGAAGAAACTTGAACAACTTTGACCTCTTTATCCCATCACCCATGACCTTCATGAAGTTTTGGTTTGTTTGAATAGCCAACTTAGGCCAAAAGCCTAAGTTGGGGGTCTGGTGAAAAAAGAAGGCAAGTCAAGATGTATGAAAAATTCCCCCTTGATGGATTGTTTTGAAAAAGATGTAACCCCTCCATGTAAAAAATAAGAGAGAGAAAGGAAATGAAAGAAAGAAAAGAAAAGACTGAAAAAAGAGAAAAAGTTGTGAAATAAAGTGTGAAAATAACAAAACAAATGGGGTATCAGTGAATCATGTCTAGTTGAATAATGAGGTGGATTATGATCATGTTTGAATGTGAAAGAGACGGAGAGAAAGTGATTTTCAGGCCATACTTTATGCAGGGAGAAGCCACTAAGCCTATATGATCATACCTTTACACTCAGCCCCGTTACAAACCTTAAAAAAACCTTTGTGATCTTGAGTGTGCTGAAACGAATGTTGATTTGAAAATAAGGGCAAGCCTATAGGTGGAGTCATGCATGTGTTCATCTTTGTGAGTGTCAGAGTTTTATGTGATTCCAGAATTTTAAATTGTTGAGAAATTTTTTGTGAATATGGAATTATCTTTGTTGTGAGGGAATTTGAATACATTTGCTGAGCTTGAACTTGCATTTGAAGGAAGCATTGTGAGCTTGAGTACACTTGATGATGGTGAGTCACAATTTGAAACTTTTAGTGCACAATTGATCATTGTATGAGTAATTTGAACTTTGTTGTGTGCATTTATGTTGAGTCTTATGCAGCACTATTTGTAGACATCCTTGTTGAATTGATCGATCTTGAGTTTTACTTGAGGACAAGCAAAAGTTTAAGTTGGGGGTGTTGATGAGTCTGAGATTTCGAGACATTTAGGGCTTTGTTTTGATAGTATAAGTGTCCTCAAATGCCTATTTTATGCTCTACATTGATGTTAAAGTGCTGACTTGCAGCTATGGAGGCTAAGGAGCAAGGCAAGGACATTACTAGACAAAAAGGAACTAAAAAACTGAAGAAGTGAAGAAAAATGATCCTGGTGATCGACAAGACCACTCAGCACACCACCATGTGGCTCTTTAGCTCACCTAAGTTTCAGTGTACCAGCCCTGGGAAAAAAAACAAAATGGCAATAGAAATGGGCAGTCGGTGAATCGTCGATCCACTCCGTGACAACAAGTAGAATCACCCAAAGTTACAGGACCTAGGAGGCTGATGACCAATTTAGAATGGCGATTGAAGGGAGAAAAGGGCGGATCGTTGAACCACTGGGCGAGGCGCGACTTATTCTGTCGAATGGACTTTCAGGCCAAAAAGTGGGCAGCTATAAATTGGAATTTTAAAGGAGTTTTGAGAGTTCTGATCCCCAAGTTATAGAGTTAGAGTTTTCTCTTAGTTTTTCAGTTCTTATTGTAGACTTAGAGGATTTCTAAGCTTAATTTTAAGGATTTGCAAGTGGGTATTTCATTTTAATCATTTTGGAGCATTGTAAAGGCTTGGAGACTCTTACCCAACTTATGGCTAACCTAGTTGGTAACTGTTTTTACCTTTTTATGATGCTTAGCTAAGACCCCAATTCTTGGGGTGTGATCATATGATTATGGGCTGAATTAGCTTATGGGTATTGTGATTTATTGATTTAAATGCTTAATTGAAGTGGTTTTAATTGATAGTTGTGTATTAATCTATGAATTGTACTTGCAAATGCAATTCTAGTATAAAGTTTTGGGCTTGCTTGAGAGAGAAGTTTTAGAACCAAAGCTTTCGATTAATGATTGTAGTTATTGGGTTGATATGGGTTTAGCTCAAAAGAGTAAATTCTAAATCTTATTCTACCCATCTAGCTCGAGAGAGTGGATGAATTAAGGTGTGGGCTGTTCTTATTTGCTAAGCTTGTTGACGTCCGAAAGAAATCACTTGAATCATGGTAGTTGTTCGAGAGAAAACTATCTTACTTATAGTCTAGCCTACCCACTGATATTTAGCAATTTGTTAGTAATTTCAATTACCCTTATAGTGAAATTTGCCTATAATCGATCACATCTCGAGAATTCCTCTCTATATTGTTATTTCCTCTGTTTTTGCTTGTGTTGTAGATGATAATTGACAATTCAACCCCCCCCCCCCCTTATCTGACATTCATTGTCCCACCTTTAGATTTGCTTATATGTTTATGATAATCTCCATTCCTATAACCGATTAGACCATTTTATAACTTCATAACTAAATTTAAACACGTACCGCTCCCTGTGGGTTCAACCCCAACTCTTCGTTGGGTTTTATACTAATTAAGGTCTCCCGTCTTGACATCCGCGGTTCTTTCAATTGTAGCCATGGTGAATCTCCTTAAAATTGTTAGTGAAAAATTACAAGATAACAGAATTACAAGATTACAATTGAAAATAAAAATGAAGAAATAAATCTCTTCAGGCTGAGGAGCGAATATCTCGCTCTCTTTAAGGAGATTCAATCCCACTGCAGCAAATGTTTTTCACCGGTCCAGCAGTAGTCCTTCTTGACTTGTCCCCTCCAGGATACAACAACCTTCACACAAAGTATAACTCAACAACTCTGGACAAGAGTTGAGTCCAAAGTTCCACAAAATAAACACCTCCCTAAAACTAATAAGAACTCTCTTTTTTGACAAACTGTATGCACTCTATAATTTCTTGTGTATCTAAACCAAATGAAAACCGCCACTATTTATAGTAGAAGAAGTCTTCCTAGGATTAAATAGGAAGATAATGCAGTGGTAAATAATGAAGATAAATGGCCTAGGAGTTACATAAGTTACAAGGTATAATGGAGGAATTAAGAGTGACAATCAAGTGGGCACCAATGCCATCAATGGCATTTTGCCTTTGTTGCAAAACTGAAGTGCATATGGCACTAACTCCCATTTAGAGTAATATAGAATAGTAATGCAGCAATTATGATTGTCATTACATCCAACATTTTGTAACATATGAGAAGTGAGAAGTCAACCATGTCTGTGTGACCATGCAAAATATTGAAAAATTTAATATTTTTTTAGAATATTAAAATGCCACACTAACACTCAATAAATTGCTCTTCAAAGCAGGAACTTAGAACACATTAGTTATGGTTTCCACACACCCATTTTTTGTTTTAAAATTGATATCAGCCTTTTCCATCACATTTACTGTTGAGAGATCACCAAAACTAACTGTCGATCGGAAGTTTTCATTTAAATCAGTGAAAGAATACTTACTACCAGTCATGTGGTTACTGCGACCGGTATCCACATACCAAATAATTTGCTCCTCGGGCTCGCTTTTCGTAATTTGCTCCTCGGGCTCGCTTTTCGCATGAACTGCCATTAATAAGGTTTCTCCTTCCATGTTCTCAGCAAAATTTGACTTTTCTTCTTTCTCATTAGGCAGCCTAGTATAACATTCAGATTGATAATGACCAAGTTTATGACAACGATAACATTCTACCTTGGATTTGTCAAAAAATCTCTTACTCTACCTTTGTTGTAGTCATCATTCGCTCTAAAATTCCTGCTGCCATCTTTGTTTTCTCGGTCTCCTCTCCTTCTTCCTCTACCTCTACCGCTACCCCTTGCAGTAGAATTGGAAGAAATAAAAGTAGAAGTCTTCAGGGCTTGCTCCTCAAAAGTTGAACTTCGGGTCATCTTCTACTCATGCACCAACAAAGATATTTGCAATTCATCCAGAGACAAAGCATCTATGTCTTTTGACTCTTCAATAGAACAAACAACGTAATCATATTTCGGTGTCAAGGAACACAGTATCCTTCCAATGATTGTGACATCATTCATCTTCTCGCCATGAAATTGCATCTTGTTGCTTATCTCCATGGTTCTAGCACAATAGCTAGTGACAGATTCACCTTCGCAAAGTTTTGAAGTCCCTTCTCAAGGCTTGAAGTTGTGCTCGTTTCACTTTTGTAGTGCCTTGATACTTATTTTTCATTGAGTCCCATATATCCTTGGAAGTTTCTTTGCAAAGAATAGTTTCCATGATAGGACGCTCAATAGCCTGAAAGAGATAATTTTTTGCTTTCAAATCTTTCATTTTTCTTGCTTTGAACTCCGCCTTTTGAGCATTTGTTAAAACTTCGCCTTCCACTGGAACACCAATGTCGTCTTCCACAATTAGCCAATACTCTTTTGACCTTAGAATGTTTTTCATCAGCATACTCCAATGGTTATAATGACCATCAAAATAAGGAATGGCTGCTTGCACAAAGTTGTTCTCTGAAGCCATGGAAAAAATAAAAAATTTGGGTGACTCTACCTCACTGGTGTTTTTTTTGTTTGTTTTTCTTCTGGATCTAACCTTGAGTTGATACCACTGATAAAACATGACAAGCAGAACAATGAATAAAGCAGGCAGAAAAACTCAACATAAGAAAACAAAAATCTGTGTAACTCTCTTATTTCAATAGAGATAGGATAAGTCTATTATATAGACTTTTTACAGAGATTTTATTGCTAAGCACTAAACCCACAAACCCACTACTACTAGGACTCCTAGCAAACTCTGCTATCTAAACTGAAAACACGTCTACTTCCTAATAACTAGGAGTTGAACAATTCAACTAAATAAAATACCAACAATTATGAAATAAATAGTTCCTAAATAAAATGAAACTTCCAACAAGATTAATGTTCTACCTTTGCATCATTTCGAACAAATTGAATACCATGGCCTGGATATACAGTTGAGGAACAAAACTAACATTTTTCCAATCTCATTGTGTCGTCCTGTTATATTTCCCTAATTCACTATGTACCATAACAACGAAGTATTAAATAAAAAACAAAACACTAACAAGGACAAAGTGATTCAGGAAGCAACACTAGAGTTATACACCAAAGATAAACTCTTTATAGATACTGATGGAGGAATGCTTATCCTTTCTTGCAACAAAACACAAGTAAAATGAAAACTTAGAAGGTAGGAACAGTACATATTTCTACTTACAAACAACACACTAATATAAGAAATATGACAACTATTGCATACCCCCAATAGAATATTTCATCTTGAATATATATAGACATCTTCATGCTCTCAATACACTTTTGGAACATCGTTGTCATATCATTTAATCTTGTATTTGTTCTCTAGAGGCCATTGGTTTCTTGGAATTTGAACACTCTTTCATTAGTTAAGGATTCAAGTTTGGTTAATGTCTTGTTACCTCAGTGAAATTCAATCTCCGGTTTTGTTATTTTTCTAATTGAAATAATGAGTGATCGAAAATAATTCTGAAGTTGAATAGTTGTTGAAGCTGCATCATAATTAGAGTGTGAACTCCAAATCATAACAGCTGCTAATCGACAACCTACTAAAATTGAGGAATTTCTTTCTGACTTAGCGTGCTCTTGAATTCCAATTCCAATGTTGTGTATATTTTTGAATTCCCTGAAATGAAGATTTAACCTCGGTTCTCTGAGTACACCGAGTGTCGAACAATTGAATTATGATGTAATTTGTTTTGCGAAAGTAGATGATCTGAATGAATGGATACATCAGAGGTTTAATTCTAAGGTTTGTCTTGTGCCACTAGTTGTATAACTAATTAACTCTAGTGCCCTCTTTCCATCTTAATAGTACTATTCAGATAGTTTTTTATATTTGTCACTTGAAGCAACTTCCTTTTACCTTCCCCCAAATATTTCCAATTAGAAATCTAAAGTATCAGTGTAGTCTTTTATATATCAAGTAAATATTTGGCTTAATAAGCTAGTAATCTCTCTTCTTTTGCAATCTTTTGCTCCCAGGAACAAAAAACTAGTGATGGCAACAAAGCCGAACCCAATGATGGTGGATCGAATCAAGGAAGGTAATAAGCTCTCAATGAAATAGTTCAAGTGTGTGAAAGTAATCTCAAACATAACTTGATGTGTATGCTCGTGATGGAGCTAACAAAAGAGGAAGGTCTACATTATAATCCATGGGTTCACGTGAACCCAAAAAATTTTGCCCAGAGACTTTATATTTATAATAGTAATTTCTAGAAAATAGTTAATTGTGGATGAAAATATTGTTATTATTACATATATATAAGCTTGAAGTCATTGTAATAATATATAAACTTTATATTTTGAATCCCCTTGTGGTTCTATTTTCTTCTTTCATTATGTTTAAAAGCTAATATGCAGCCTTATTTTCTCTTGATAGCTTGCATTCTATGTTGTTTTAGAAGATTTTCAGGAATACTTTTTCGGAGATGCTCATTCATTCATATTTAATAGAAGCATATGTTGGGTTCGAAAGTAATTCGGGCGTCATGCGGAAGCTTACAATTGTAAATAAGGACAGTGATAAATTAGATTGACAAAAAATATACTAAAAACATAATATTATTATATGAAAACTAATATAAAATAAAGAGAATAAATCTGCCCATAAACAAAACTCTTTAAACGTCTACATTGTGGATACTATTGTGTTATGTTATGAGAATAAGGATTTTCAATTTATAGATCTCCAAATTTTTCTCCAAGGAAGGAATAACACAAATATAGAAGAAAGTTATATTTTCCTTTTAGTAAAAGTTGAAGCATTTATGATAATACATTAACTTTTCTTTAAGGAAAAAATAAACTTCAAATAAGATAAGAAAATCAGGGAAAAACCCTAACAAATCTCCCCCTTTGGCTGGATTTTCTTGACAAAACTTGATTTGTCTTCTGCACTGCATGATAATCTTTGTTCTTCACATAGCCTTCATCCCTGTTGCTTGCCATGGTTAAAAATAAAGTTTAAATTATATGAGTTAAAAATGATTTTAAAATATTTTATTTTTATTTTTAAAGATGCAGCAACAGTGTTGAAAAATATGGTTTTAATCTCTTCTCCACACGTAGCTGGACAGTTGCAAATTGATTTGAAACCGCGTTGAACCTATCTTCAACCTCTTTCCATTGGATCATTGGATCTTGTGCTCTAATACCACTTATTGGGTTCTAAAGTAATTAGGGCGTCATTCGGAAGCTTACAATTGCAAATCAAGAAAGTGATGAATTAGATTGACAAAAAATATCCTAAAAACATAATATAGTATATGAAAACTAATATAAAAGAGAAACTATTAAACTGTTGACAAAATAAATCTCTCAATAAACAAAACTCTTTAAATGTTTACATTGTAAGTACTATTGTGTTATGTTATGAGAATAAGGATATTCAATTGATAGATCTCCAAAAAATTTCTCCAAGAAGAAATAACCCAAATATGGAAGAATGTCTTTCAGTAAAATTTAAAGCATTTATGGTAGTACATTAATTTTTCTTTAAGGAAAAAATAAATTTCAAATAAGGTAAGAAAATCAGGGTAAAACTCTAACAGACTATGTGTGTGCGCGGTACGAAGGAAAAGGTTTTCCATGAAAAATATTGTATATTATCAAGCTTTAGTTCTCATCAAAATCCTCATCTTGGAAGTTCCAAAATTTCTATCTTTTATCAATATGCTAGTGAAGTTACGAAACCATTACTAATTAAGAAAGTTATGGAAAGCTTTGTATCTTAATGTAATCAAAATGTTATGCATACCGCAAACGTAAGTATGAAATGATTTGTGTGTTTGTTTGAGAAACATGTTCAATAAGATGCAAAATGTTCTTTCAATGTTTTTGCGAAACCTTGACCTTTGTAGGCAGTGTAAGTGATGGCTCTTTGTCGAGCATAGCCAAAGCTTTGACCATGTGAATGCTGCTCGAACTCCTTCGTTGCTTCTCTCTGTGCCTTGGGTTTCTTTCCTTTCATCCTGTCCAGTTTGCCATATTATAATCTTCTCTCATATTTTATCACCCAAATTTTTTAGTCTTTTAGGATTTAACGAAAAAAAATTAAACATTTTATGTACAAATGTGTACCAAGTTTTAAAGCATTACATTTCTGCGTATATTATGAATATCTGACAATTATCGTTTTACGTATTCAATTTGTTAGAGAGCTAAATACTTCATAATTTTGTGCTTGTTTAAATGTAAAGAACATTAATTGATAACTTACTCAACTTGGCTTGAAGTTTCAAGTAATATTTGTGACATGAAGTATTTGACTATTTGCTCTACTTAAGTGCTAAAAAGATATTTTTATAACAATTTTTTCAATAAATTTATTTGTTCCTACTTTTTAAGAATAGAAATGTATACATCACCAATAAAAGAAAAATATGTCGTATTCAAATATATGTTGAAATACTTTTCAGAGAACAATTATTAAAGTTTTGAAGGGGGCGGGCCGCAGGGGGTTGAAAGTAATAATGGAGTAGTCTGGTGTTGTGAACAACTACTTCCTACTTTTTGTTTTCTTTCATATTATACAATTGAGTTGTCATTTATATATTTTTATAATTGCCGTGCTTTTTTGTACGCAACTCGGCTAATTTTAGGTAGTTTTTAGTTAACATTCATCAGTTTCAAAACAATTAAGAGGTGATAGGCCCTCTCTAGGAGGTGTCTTTAGGTATGAAAAAAAAGAAGAAAAACAAAGGCACTATTACTATTGGGGAATTTGCTTCTGCTCATTCATCCTGTCCTACATATACTTGCTGAATTATTGGCCATTGTTTCATAGTGTTTTGCTCACTTTCTGAATTATTGGCAAAACAAGTATTATTTACCATGTGCTAAAAGAAAAGGGAAGAAAAGTATGTGTATGATATTAATTAACTGGGCCCAAGAGTAAGAGCCATGGAATTATTAGCTCTTCCCTTTTTCCTCTGTTTTACATCTTGTTTTCCATTGAAATCAAAGAAAAACGGAAGAAACAACTTCGGTTGCTTTTCTTTATTACACTATCCAGTGAAGAATTAATTAATCAGATATGGAATTCTTAT